TTTCTAATGATACTTCGCGGAATCGATTTGTATTTGAACCCAAGGGCTCGGATCAACATCTTCCTGGTGAAGCTGTTCTGAACAGCCTCAAGTTTCCTGATGTTACCTTTAGAGTGTGGAAAGTAAATAGTAGTCCCGTAAATAGAAAGAGACAAATGCATGGTTTTTGATGTTGCTTTGTTTTCAACTATTTGAAGGGGCTTGAGCGCGACGTGACCGCGACGACCGTCTGTCTGCCTCGCTCCTCCTCCCTAGCACTACCTCGGCCGGTACGCTGGCGGACTATGAAAGCAGCCAGTGGATCCAACAGAGGCAAAATTTAAAGAATTACGGCCTCCCACTCCTGAAAATTTGCGACCAGGAAAGAGCTTTTTCTTGCTTTCTCGGTAGAAAGAGGAATGGCGAGCCAACCAAGTATTTCAGCTTTTCTGTAGGAAGGAGAGGAACCTGGAGTAAACCGGGTGATCGACTGGTACACATACAAAGTACATTCATACATACACCCTAGCTTTTATTTACGCGCATATATAATACGCGTACACACATGCACGTAAAATACAAACGCATGCAGACACACACACACACACACACACAAATAGTGGTTGGGCGAGCGAAATCGACTAAATAAACAAGTAGGTGTGCAAGTATAGCAAGAATACAACAACAGCCACACATAAGGAATTATACGCAATCTTTTTTCCATCGAGTATTTCAATTTTCGTTTTCTTTTGAATATATAGGATTACCCAGAACTAATCTTTATTTTGTTGATTGAAATAACTTCAGGTCAGGTCCTGCGATTGCGTTGTAAGAAGACTGGGCAAGAGTTGATTTATGCGAACACACATTTGATATTCAACTCAGCTCGGGGTGACATTAAAATAGGTCAACTTGCTATGCTGTTTGCCAACATCATTGATGTAGGTTATTTTGTACATCCGTACACGAATTTTTTCTTTTGTCTTATGTTGTTTTAGAGAGAAATCGAAGCTAGAGAACAAGTGTGAAATGGTGCTGCAGAATATATGCTGGAAATAAATTGTGGCATCGAGGCATAAGGTGTCGCCTCGGCGAAGAGCAGCGCAGCAAAAAGTTTAAAAACCGCAGAATCGTCTCAGGCTGTGGCGAATGAAACCGTCTACCTTTGCACCAGTTGTAGCGCCATCTCTAGGCAGTTTATGTAGTTGCCATATCACAGATCTCATCCACTAGGCCAAAATTTCCTCGCAGCATAGTTTTTGGTGAACAAATCTAATCATGAAAGAATTGCGTCTTTAAGATATCCGACGTAACTTATTAAGAGACATTTGTCAGTTTATTGTCTTTAAAATGAAAGCTCAAATTAGCGAACCTATAACTCGCGCAAACTAGGCCTAGTAGCATGCTCGGGCGTTGCGACTCGCACTGCTTACAATTAGTAATAGCTTATGTTAATGGGTTCCTGTAGCGATACGTGTGTGTGTGTGTTTGTGTTGTAAGTGTGTGTAGGTGTGTGTGTGAAAAAACAAGGAAAAGTGTGTCTGTAAAAAAAAGGAAAAACACGAGCTCGATCCTCGTCGTTGCACAAAAAATCTACAAGTTTTTCAATAGAGCGGGTACCAGTATTGGCCCAGGTTGATGAAGAAATCAGTGGTAAAGCTAGGACGTTACTTAGAAGCGACACACAGGACTACCCCCTTCCCTGAGTGTGGAGAGTATGCGAGGGCTACCGAGGATGAACAACCTCGACTGAAGAAGTTATTCAGAATTGGAGCTGTGGAAGTTATGTTGGATCGCTTACTGGGAAGACCCGAAAATTTGCTGATATGTTTAAGTAGAAGTGAAACAAAGTTTCATGCTTCCGAGATACATGCTGGAATGGAGCAAAGGCTAGAGGGAAGGTGTTGGCACTACCAAATTGGAGACGACACCATTCTGACATCCGTATTTCTTCCGGATCTGAACTTCTTAATACAGTGCGTTTCATAATTATAAGGTCACCCCAGATTTTTGCGATTCTGGAGAAAGCAGCCGGAATGGAATTTTTTGGCAAACACCGGTAGATTCCTCGTCACAAAGTACCTCCCTACTCAAATTTTGGTCGCAATATCCTTCACCTCGAATTTTTTACGAATTTGTTAAAGATAGTGTCGGGTTTTGCACCGTTTCATAATTATAAGGTCACCCTGAGAAAGTAAATGATTTATTAATGTTGATGGCATAAGTACAGCAGTTAATAATCTATAGCTCCTCCTTGTTTAAGAGCAATATCAAAGAGCCTTCGTGGCATACTGGAAACTAGGTTTCGAAGAGTTCCTCATCGATTGCTCTCCATGCTTCGATAATCGCCCGGTTCAGCTCTTCTATTCCCTGGAACTGACGGTTATTCGCAGAAACCTGTCTGACGATTATGCCCCAGATATGTTCCATTGGATTGAGATCGGGACTGCAGGCTGGCCGTGGCAGGATGCTTATCTATTGGCATTGCAGCCACTCATCCGTTGCACGGCTCACACGA